TAATTTCACGAAGCTAACTTTACATTCATACTTTAAATGTATCATGTATTATGCTGGTTTATTATTTTTTCCGTTTATTGTCAGTAATCGTTACCTTCTATTCTGAGTTTAAAACGGTCATAACTCCGTAACCGTCCAAAATCGGACACATGTTTATATGAACTTTTTTGATCGCAAAGACGTAGAAAATCACCTCCTGCAGTTATGCCCTAAAGTCGTGAAACACCCTGTATATTCACGTGATAAGAGTGATTGCAGAATCGTATTTATTGAATTCCTACAATCGTAACTACAAGTCAGGATTATTCTCTCACTGTCCTACATACTTCAGAAATCACTAGAGGACATAAAATGTCTTATTAGTCTTTTAGTCTTCACTACTGTTGCATGGTAGTACCGGTGGACGTCTCCTTTCCTCTGGTTTCCCGAACTGTCCTCATTCCTCAGCTACCAGCTTCTCACAGCAACAGCTCACAACAACTGAACCCCAGCAGTTATCTAACTCGGTGACTGATTGCTAACTTGTCCTGCTTATAAGATCTCGGCAAGCACCGCCTAGAAAACCCGTTGCCTTGTTGCGGTGCAATTGTTGCTTAGCGATGGCATGACGTATTCCACTGCTGCGTGCATAGCCATCGGCACGGACTACGCAGAAAACACCATTCCTCTGTTGTTTACTGGCCGCTACCTAGTTAACGGTTGGCTGTTGTGACTCCTCAATTCCTACTTTGAGAAAATATGCCACATTGCTCCCTCATTATGGCTGCTCGTCCTGACTAGACTACAGGCTTACCGCCATTTATTCTTTTCCGAGGGGACGTGCCTGTGACATTTGATCGGCATCTCTTTCCATCCCTGTGGTTTGGTTTTCTAGGTGATAACTACAAAACTGCTCACGACTGTAGTGGCTATAGACGGGGTTTGGATCGGTAATGGGAATTATTGAAATCTTACAACTCTACTCCCGATGTCGAAAGCAACAGTAATAACTGTTTCTATACTGCCAGACTGACCTATGTCCTGCCGCTGCTAACCGTTTAACCCTTTACAGAATAAGTTTTAGCTAACTAATATATAAAAATTTAGTCCGTACATCACAGGAAACGCATTACGTCACCGCTACAAAGACCAATCGGTAAATTCTGTTCGGGGAAACAGTCGCTGTTTATTGTGAGAACCATGCGAAACACACAAATTTCACTGCGTGGGCAGAATGCAGAGTTTTAAAATGTTTAAAGTTACCACTGGGGTTTAAAGGGTTAATGCATCAAGCAGTCACCATGCAGCGCCAAGGTAAACAAGACCGCAAGCGTATAATATGTACCAGCATACACAGTTTACAGCTCTGAGGTGCGATATTTGCATTTCTTGCACAGATGATCATGCACGTAAATTGTTTAATGTATGCTTCAAACTTGTGTTGTAATATGACACCGCGTCAAAGGAACAGAGCAAATCCAACTTAATGCACTCTAAAGTCATTATACATCCTTATTTGATTATGTTTTTTTCATAGACGCGATCGTGTCCAGGAGACTCCGGTTTGTTCGTGAATATAAATACGCGTATAAAACAGCAAACTACAGCGTAGTTGGTTGAGGCACTATGTTACAAGCTGGAGGGTCGTGGTTTCGATTCCTGATGGCGGTCACTATATTTTTCAATTCACCTAATCCTTCCAATCGCACTACGGCCCCGGAGTCGACTCAGCATCTAACAAAAATGAGTACCAGGGATCTTCGTGGGGGTAAAGGATGTCGGCGTGTAAGACTGACAACCTCGCTGCCATTTTCGGGCCGATTTTCTAGAAAATGTGGCAGCCTCGACGTCACACAACCCTATGGGCCTCCACGGCCTGCTACAGAGATAGCTTTACCTTTACAGTTTGCTGGGTTGTGTTTCGTTAAAATAAGTAACTGTGTGTACACATAACACCAGGTTTTTGTGGCACACATATTCTTAACATACGTAATAACAAATATTATGTTTTTGGACATTATCCATCGTCTTGTCTTTATTCAGTCCAGAACCTTTTGTCTTCTCGTCTGTTGCCTGAAGCATAAAAATTAAAACATAAAAGACCATAATTTTGCCTGTTGTTCTGTATGGGTGTAAAACTTGGTCTGTGACATTAGGGGAGGAACATAGAATGAGCGTGTTTGAGAACAGGGTGTTGAGGAGAGTGTTTGGACTGAAAAGGGATGAAGTGACGGGAGGTTGGAGAAATCTGCACAATGACGAGCTTCATAACTTTACTCTTCGCTCAGTATAATGATCAAATCACGGAGGATAAGGTGGGCAGGGCATGTAGCACGAATGAGGGTGAAGATGTATGCGAATAGGATACTGGTGGGAAAGCCAGGAGGAAAGAGACCACTAGGAAGATCAAGACGTAAGTGGATGAATAATATTAAAATGGATCTTAGTGAGAGATGTTGGGGTGGTATGGATTGGATCTATCTGGTTTAGGATAGAGACCGGTGGGGGGGCTCTTGCGAACACAATAATGAACCTGGGAAGTTCTTGAGTAGCTGCACAACTGGCGGCTCCTCAAGAAGGGATCAGCTCCATAAAATTAGTTTTCTGTTTATGTCTTTTGTTCTGTCTGTCATTTTTAACCTTGACATAAGATGGAGGTGAATGACCAGCCTCACGCCCCGGCCGCTTCACCCCTAGGAAGTCAGTTCCTAGTACACATTGAATAAGAGGCTAGGTGGGCCACGAAGCCGATCTGGACGATATGGGAAAAGCTCTCTTCTCCCTGCCGGGAATAGAACCCTGATTACTCGGCAACCCATGGCTAGTTTCTATGAAACTAAATTAAGACTATGTATATAGGCACATTTCTCCAGCAGAATGCACACAGGGCGTTTCTGATGAAACCTTTTCCCTTTGAAGGGTTACAAATGGAAAACATCGGTGAAGAGAGCGACCTTGACAAGTCACTTGGCTGTAAAACTGTGCCACATGTGAACTGACGAAGCAAATATGATTAGCATAGGAGTTGTTCACCTGCCATACGTGTGTTATCACCTCTGCTTCTTACGCGTTTATATGATTATGTGGAGGATGCTAATTTGATGGGTTACAGTATAAATACCATAACGTCTATAACACTGGTCGGCGAACAAACTGATCTCGCAGTAAATACAGGCAAAGGTCGCGAAATAAAAGGCTAACTGTGTGCGGTATACATTTGGACGTGTCGCAGAATTACAGTTTATGAGATCTGTGCTTCAGAAGACCATTAGCATTAATATTACTGTCTTCTGGGATGTGACGCCGTTTAATCCAGTAGAAGTTCACCGACGTTTCTGAGGATCATGTCTCCTCCATCTACAGGGTCGAAGAGTAACCAAGAAGGTATCCAGCAAGAATCAGGCAGTACGATTATTGTTTACTTGGCTTACTATTCCATCCCAAAGATAGAAGGATCAAGTTCCTCCGAAACGTCGGCGAACTTTACCGGATTACACGGTGTTACATCCGACGAGCCTGCACTGTCTAAAGTCACCGCTGTGAGAAACAGAACTGGTTTCCTGAAAGCGGGCAGTGAAGGAGAGTTGAAACAGCTGAAATGCGGTGGTACCTGAGAACAGCAGCAGGACAGTTACAGGAAACCCTCGCTAATCCGGTTACAGTTAATCCGGATCTAAATATTATAAATGAAAAATGCTGTTCACAGCTGAGCACATATTTTGAAAGACGCGTGGCATTTAGGAGCAAGAGAGCTTTCAGACTGTGCTGAGGGCAGCTGAAGAGACTGAAACTACGCAAAAAAAAAAATTCAAGATTGGCTTGAGCTGGATGAAGGAGGCCCTCGACTTCAGCTACTGACAGAGGAAGAAATTGCTGCAGTGATATTTTTCTTATTTATTTTCATCATCATTACATATATTATTAAAGTTCCCATTTATTTGTTTTTTCAAATTTTTCTTTTAGGGTTATCCTTTGCTTCATTAATCCGGATAACCCCACCCCAAATTAATCCGGATTAGCGAGGGCTTACTGTACTGGAGAGGAAACGCAACCATCATTCTGTAAACCGGTTGGTGGGCCGTGCCATAGCTCGAGCGGTTAGTCGCTGGCTTCTCACCGCAGCGGTCCGTGTTTGAACCCGGGCCAGGTGATGTGGGATTTGTGGTGGACAAAGTGGCACTGGGGCAGGAGTTCTCCGAGCACTTCGGTTTCCTTTGTCAATCTTCATTCCCCCAGCTGATCCACAATCACCATCATCTGGGGCTGGTACAATAGACCAGTGGTGGCCGCAGTACCAAGCGGACTCAGCCTCACCCCACTAAGAATAATAAGAAAATGAAGCCAGTTGGCGACGCGAGGGGAAGGGCGCAGGCACGACGAAGTACGGCGCTAATGTGGATGCTGACGTCGTCCCGATGGGGAGGGGGGGGTGAACGATATAGCATTTGCCGTCGGAGTTCCGATCGCTGCTGACTAGGCAAAACAGTTACTTCTGCAATTCGTTTGTGGGTAGGTTACCACAGCAACACATTCCGAAGCCTTAACATGTAGCAGCCAGTAAAAAAAAGTAAAGGCATCCCTCTAACAGGCCGTGGAGGCTTATAGGGTTGTGAGATGTTGAGGTTCCCCCATTTTCCAGCCAATTGGCTCATAGATGGCGGCAAGGTTGTCAGCCACAGCGCCGGCCGCCCTTTACCCCCAAGAATATTCCAAGAATATTCCTGGTACCCATTTCTGTTAGAGGCTGAGTCGACCCCAGGGCCATAGTGCGGCTGGAAGGATTAGGTCAATTGAAGAAATTCAATGACCTCATCGGGACTTGAACCCGCTACCTTCCGGCTTGTAGCATAGTGCCTCAACCAACTACGCTACCGCGTACCCCTGTAGCAGCCAGTAAGAACACAAATCAGGCAAATCGGCCTTCTTTTTCACACAACAGGAAAACAAAGGTACATATTTACACAGACTTGGAACGATTGACAGGCGACTGTCACAGATATGATATAATCAACTGACCTTGATGGGCGATCGGCGAAATGCCGTAACAGCTTCGCTGACAGGTACAAATGCGTAGGCCCGTTGGAAATCCATTGATAGGAATGCAGATCACGAGGGTACGGTTGGCTGATGTCACCTGGAGACAAGGATAACGATCTTGTCATTCATGTACAGAGCGATTTCTTGTTACCCCTGTCACCATATTTATGCATCATTACCAGGGCCCGGATTTTGATGACATGTCATCTTTTTTCCTTGTATCCTATGCGACGTTCTTAAATATATAAATATCGGATATGAGCTGCTGGTTACAGAAATGTAAATTTTATAGGTAGCTTCTTGTCATTTTTTTTTTACATTTTTAGGTTTAAGGTCATTTTTTCTTTTGGGGGTAAATTTTTGGACTTTTAAGGGCATTTATTCTCATTTTTGGCCAATTTAGGGAATTGTTCTTCATGTTTTCTGAAATGTGAATAACATGGAAGCGAAGTGTTCTTTCTTTTCTCCTTTTGGTAATTTTTCTGGATTTTTTCGGTCATTTTATAGGTCATTTTTTTAAATATTTTCAGATCATCAAAATCCGGGCCCTGGTCATTACGCACTGCGTAAATTGTTTAACTCTTTCAGTGCAGGTTTATATATATAGAACCAATATCTACAATTTTGCAGGACAACGTAAGTTCTATTTTAAAGCCACTTGAGTGTTGCGAGAAGTTTCAGTAATCTTCTGATGACCAACAGAGATATCTAGAGCATAACATGGAGGAGGTGAAGGTCCGTTGCACATGGCAGAAAGCAAGTTAGTGATTTGACATTGTTTTTACTTTTCATTATTGTTTCACGCGCCTTTGAAAATATTAACTCAGAGGTTGGCACCATCGCCATACTGCATTTTTTCAGGAAAAGCAAAGGGCATAGCAGAATTTAAAGATGAGTGCATTAACTCAACAGATGATCGTCGCTTTTGAGAAAGTTAAAGTTGCCCTCCCAGTCGGATTCGAATGAATTGCTGCAGGCCTTCCCCAGAACCTGCACGATATTTACGTTCGTAACAAATTCCTGTTACTGGACTCCAACATAATTCAGATGAATTTCAGTTCATACCCTCACATTCTGTTTAAGATCCATTTTAATATTATCCCCGACCTATGCTTAAGTTTCCCAGGTGATCTCTTGCCTCTTGGTGAACTGACTAAAGTTTTCTACTTGTAATTGCCGTGAATGCGGACAGAAATTTACTACAGCGGCAGCTGTGACGAGTGGCTGTACGGGCGAGCCCTAGACAAAAATTAAGGGGCTTACCGAGGACTGCCCTCGACTACAGCGGCAACTGTGAGGAATGGCTGTAGGGCCGATTCATCTTCAGAAACTACGGGACGTACTGAGAACTGACTTCCACTACAGCGGCAATGTGAGGAATTGCTGTAGGGCCGATTCATCTTCAGAAACTACGGGACGTACTGAGGACTGACCTCGACTACAGCGGCAACTGTGAGGAATGGCTGTAGGGCCGATTCATCTTCAGAAACTACGGGACGTACTGAGGACTGACCTCGACTACAGCGGCAACTGTGAGGAATGGCTGTAGGGCCGATTCATCTTCAGAAATTGCGGACTGACCTTGAATAAAGATTTTTATGTCTTTTGACATTTTTAATAATTTGCACTTATATTTTAGAGCATAATACGCTCTACAATTGTTATAACATAATCTGTTTCCGATGCTTATATGTTTAATTTATGGCAATCAATTTCATTACTTCAGTCTTTTGGGGCTATTTCTTTGCCGTTCGGGGACGTAACCCCCCCCCCCCAATCATATAACATGGTGCCTATGGGTAATAGCAATTGGCATTACGAAATTTCACTTTAGCAGGTGACTGAGATTTTACTAAAGTCACCTGAATACGCCTCCAACCGACCAACGAACCAACCAACCAGCTGCTGAATTTTTGGTTTTGCCTAATGCTAAATCTTCCAATCGGAAACGGAGTTATCCAGTTAACAGATAATTAAGTCTAGCGTTTTTGTAGCGATAGTACTGCTGGGACACGAATATGAGGCAACTGGGAAGGTCCACGAATCACTGATCACAACCAGAAGTCGCTGTTCTGCTATTAAGTGAACATGGAACAGAAGATCCGACGTTTACAATTCGATTTTAGAGGAACTGCAGTTCTTTTGTGACAGAGGTGGCGTACAAAGCATACGTAGTGATACGAGCTGCGGAGTGCCATGACTGTGTTTCTGTGACGAAGTTGAGGAGGTTAAAGATTACGATTCTCTTCGGTAATGGAAAAGTCACACGGACCGCAGAAGGCAACTTCAAGGTTGCAACATAAGTCTTCTGTGTTGTGGCGCCGTGTTGTAGACCTCAGCGTGAACCGTCTCGGTTACTACAGCGTGTTGTACATGCCAATAGGAGTGTTCTGGATTGTGGCACGGTATTGTAGACCACAATATGAGTTTATTGCACCCTCATATCGCGTTGACGGATCGCAATATGAAACTTCCGGGTTCTGATATCGCGTTGACAGATCGCAATATGAAACTTCTGGGTTCTGATATCGTGTTGGCCGATCGCAATATAAAGCTTCTGCAATATGAAACTTCTGGGTTCTGACATCGTATTGTCAGATCGCAATATGAATCTTCCGGGTTCTGATATCGCGTTGACAGATCGCAATATGGAGTTTCTGGTATATGAAACTTCCGGGTTCTGAGTATTGCCAGATCGCAATATGAAACTTCCGGGTTCTGATATCGCGTTGACAGATCGCAATATGAAGCTTCTAGGATATGAAACTTCCGGGTTCTGACATCGCATTACCAGATCGCAGTATTAACATTCTGGGTTCTGATATCATGTTGCCAGATCGCAATATGAAACTTCCGGGTTCTGACATCGTGCTGACAGATTGCAATATTAAAACTTCCGGGTCCTGATATCGCGTTGACAGATCGCAATATGAAGATTCTTCGTTGACACTTCCGGGTTCTGACGTGCTGAAAGATCGCAATATGAAACTTGCGGGTTCTGACATCGTATTGACAGATCGCGATATGAAACTTCAGGTTTGTGCTATCGCGTTGACAGATCGCAATATGAAACTTCCGGGTTCTGACATCGTGTTGGCAATATGTAACATGAATCGTCTGTGTTGTGACTTCGTATCGCATACAGCGATGTACACACAGTGGCTGAACATAATAATGGAAATACTACGCATACGGTACACGTTTCTTTATTAATATGGTACTGGACCACTTTTGCTTTGAATACAGATGCAATCCTTCTTGGAATGGACTCTTACAAGTTTAGAAGTCTATAGCGGAATTTTATACCATTCTTGAAGAACATCTTCAATTTGCTTTAGAGATGGTAGAGGTGGTAATCCGTTCCTCACTCTTAGTCTTCACAGTTCGCCAGAGTTGTTCTGTGACGTTCAAATGTGGTGACTGTGCTCTCCAGGGAAGATGTTGAAGTTCACGTCCATGCTCTTCAAACCATGACTTAACAGTTCCAGCTGTGCGAATGGAGGCACTATCGTCTTGGAAAACTGCAACGTTGTTCGGAAATAACGTCTGGATCATGGGATGCACCTGATTACCCAACCTGTCCACGTACTCCCCTGCAGGAACTCGGCCATGAAGGGCAATAATGGGACGAACAGAATACTGTACAACGCTATTGCTGCCCAAATCATCACAGAACCTCCCCCGTGTTTCGGTGTTGGAACTAGGCATTCCGAACTGTAAGCTTCCTTGGGTGTTCTTCGAAGGTAAGTAAAGTCTTCCTGATGTAGGGAACAGCGCGAAAGACGGTTCATCTGACCATATCACGCGCGCGATTCCAGTTGCCTGATGTCCAGGTGTCACCATCGTTTATACCTCTGAGCATTACTTTCAGTAATCAGAGCCCTATCGTGGATGTCGGATTTGTAAAGCTGACGTCGGGCAGTTTTTGCGGAAACAGCGTCTTCAAGATGCATATTAATTTCTGCTGTCACCTGTGCTGCAGTAGTTGCGTGATTTTTCGAAAAAATCCTTCTCATTGTAGGAGATCTCTTTCGGTCAATGTTGATTTTTTCCCACTGTTCCCTCTTCGCTGATATGTTCCCACGATTCGTGTTTGCCGACATAACCTCAGGAACTGTCGCTCTCAATATACCTAATAATTTGGCAGTTTTGTCATGCATGCTCCAGCTAAACGCGCACCAACTATCTGTCCTCGTTCAAAATCGGACAGGTCTCCCATTTTCCGATTCTTTCACATGGACTGGCACTCAACACAATCACCAATGCACTTACACGAGCACCACAGAGCATAAACAAATGGAACAACATTCACTGTTGCCAACTTAAGTTATTTCAATGTAGCCAACATAAACTCTATTCAATTTTGTTTTGTTTCCATTATTTTGTCCACATCCTATATACTATGTCCCGGGTTGTGGACCATGAAACGAATAATCTGTGTTCTGTGTTACGACACCGTGTTGCAGAGAGATCTCTTGGCTCTGACGTCGCGTTGTATGTTGTAGACGGTAAATACGACTCGGTTGCAGAAACATGACATAGACCACTGTAGAAAACTTCCAAGTATTTTATCACCATGTTGGAGGTTGTAACATAAATATTCTGGGTCTTGGCGTCGTGTTTTAAGACTTCAGAATGAATATTCTAGGCAAATACAGTGTTTTACACAGGTCAATATGAATTTTTACGTGTTCTGACACAGTATTGTAGATGGCAGTATCAGTGTTCCAGGTTCTACTTGACATGTTGTAGGTCATTGCACGGATATTCTGGGTTATGATATTACACCGTAAACACCAACATGCATCTTCTAGCACCTTATACGACTTCGCAAACCGCAATATGAATCTTCTAACTCCTGACATCAGGTTTACATAGGAATGTCAATATTGCTTTTCGTCCTTTCGCAGTAGGCCACGATATTAATAGTCTCTGTCGTGATAATCTCAAATCTTAGGGCACTCTCGTTTATTCGTATAACATGTGTACCGATACTGGGCATTCTTGGTATTGATTCTTTGTTGATTTAATGACGCTGGTTCAAACAAAAATTTTGTAGTGCCAGACGTAATGAGAAGATGGTTATGAATGCTGAGT